AAAATACCAGATAATGATCATTTCTACGCTATTACGGCTCCTTTTTTATGTTAGTTTACAAACTGTAAATACTTACTTTAAATATTATTTTTACAGATAAATTAAACTAAATATTACATTAAAATCCATCAAACATATCAAAATATAAATTGTCTAAGAATGTATTAATTACAATTATTCAAGAAGATATTAAAATAAATGAATATTTTTATATATTTATAGCATTATTTGCATTTAATCATTTTAATTTCTTAATAGAAACCTATTACAATTTACTTTTTTATATTATAATTTGAGATATTCATTTAGTAATAATAATAATGAATACTCAGAATTCGTCCACGAAATAAAGCATCCATGAAAAATGTCTAAATCCATGTCCTATAGTCCTTTCTTGCACAGGTGTCATACCACGTACAGTACAGTACATTACAAAGTATCTGTTGAAACAGTAGAACTTTACAACAATACATACTCCACACAACACAAAGTTATCATATTAAACACGTGTCATAGAAATTTCTTAAATACAGATAAACATACGAACAGAACATAAATAAAATAATAATTTTATTTATGTATTGCTCTTGTGCACCGGTATATAAACTGAGAATACAATCCACCAACTCTATAACAAGATATTTTTATTAGGATAAGATAATAGAATTAGCTTATTAGAATTTTTATTAAGGTAATTAATTCATTTTCAGAAATTTCAAAAAAAAATTTTTTTTGTAAATTTAAAATTAAAGTACTGTAAATATGAAAAAGTCTAATCATATTCTACATATTTTATAATGTTTTTGCGGTAGTTGGACGACAGTAAATTATTATTTCTTAGAGGGAAAAATAAGCACAAATTATGAAAATTTATATACCATAATTACAAACATGAGAAAAATGGCAAGTTGAAGAGTAAATAATAATTTGTCTAGTCGAATTTAGTTTTTAATAAAAATTATTTAAGAATCTTCTCCTTTATTTGAAATTATTATTAATTATTTTGTTTTAAACATTACATTAAAATTTTATAAANACAATGACATAATGCCAGACAAAGGGTAGAAAAAGCACATGAAATTGGGTGGATAGAGAAGACGTAAAAAGAAACAAAAAGGAAGATGACCACAATGTTTTAAACATTACATTAATATTTTATAAATCTCTCTAAAATTTGAATTTATTCTAAGTCCATGTTTTAAATAACGTCCAGAAGCAAAACTGTTAAAGACATAAATGCTCTGACAGTTTCGCTTCCATACTGTACATATTAATGTATACGTATTGGAAGAAGTAATTGAGTTGATTCTAATTCAATTACTTGTTTGAGTAGACATATCTTAGGCTCAATCTAAATACGGAGCGGAAACGTGTTATTGCTTTACAGAAATACCCAAGAGAAATTTCGCGTCCTAGCTGCTTAAAAGAGCCACTACTCGTTCTGGCATTTTAACTTGTAGAGAACCAAATTTTTAAATTCAATTTATGAAAACAAATGCTTCGATGCACAGGGAAGATGCGAAAAGTATTTAAATATTGCATCAATAGAAAACTTGAACCGCGAAACCGTGAAAATAGATAACAATGATATACTGTATTGTTTATCGCAACGGACTTCAATCTCGAGAATAGAGTTAGATAGATGAAAGCTGAGACCAGATATGGAAACCTTACAGGCAGGATGCCCGATTAACTATATACGAACTTCCAAGGCAAACCGAAAGTCATGTAATTCCAATTCAAAAATTTTTTCCTGAAAGGTGGTAGATAGTGACCGGCACGACTAATTGCTAATTTTGTCATATAATGCTGCTATGGAGCGTAGTTTAAATATCACTGATTGTTTTTCTTTGGAATCTTGATTACATGCATATTTTAGTTAAATAAAAAGACCTATGTTTTCAATATGTGTCGACCAGTACATATAATTTCTAAATCCGAGTGTAGCCAATGAGTTAGTTAAATTCGTGTCTCATCGTCAAATTAACACATTTTCGCGTCTAAATAAAGATATAGATATTGCTAACTGCAATAACAAAAGATGTATTCGTGCTATACTTTTTGGTGTGATATCGATTCGTACATTTCTTGTCGGATTTAGTTTCTAATTATTCTCCGATTTGAAATTACATTATACCTTATACACCTTAACAACAAATTAATTTTATTATAAAGCTATATTTTGTAAGAATTTCAATTGTCAAAGTTATGTAAAATTAACAAGTATTTATTGGCAATTGTATTTTTTGCTTGTCTTACAAATAATATCTTAATAAACTGATAATTAACTTCGTAAAATAATTCATTAAATTAAGAACCAGCTAGGTTTTAAGTTTTATTTCTCAATTTTTAAAAACGAAAATTCGGTCAATAAGCGCTCACAGGAAATTGAATTTGCACAATACTTTACATCAATTTTGGATCTAGAAAATGGAACGAGTTCGTATTAATTTTCATTGTGCTAAATATGAATTATTCCTTCCTTGAAACCTTTTCTTTTGTGAAATTTCAATATACATAATAAAGATATTTGCTAAATAATTTTAATGTAATGAATGTTTTAAGAGTTCTTATTTTTTAAATGTTGGTTTACGATAGTTTAATGCTTCGATCACTGAACGGGAAAAAAATAGACATTTTCTATTAGCGTAATTTTAGGACATTTTTGTGACTAATACAAAAGTATTATAAGTATAATAAGGTTTCACGTTTCTATAAATCGAAACAACCGATGACTTATAAAATTGTGCCCACCAATGGCTGAGTGAATAAAACCACTACACATTGATAGTTGGAGGTGGGTTCACGCCTCGTGAACGGACTGGCCACGTGTTTACCAGGTTTTCTTTATGTTTCTAACATCTAAATAGGGCTGGTCCCTATTTAGGTGTTAGAAACATAAAGAAATGATGTTAGATCTAATTAGATATTAGAAACAAACTATTTCCCATAAAAGATCTCACAGAAGGCATTCTTCCTATAGCAGATCGCCCACGTTTCGTATTGAGGCATACGAATAAAACAAAATCAAACGTAAAATTGTATTGTTGTGAAAAAATGCCGTAAAAGTTAGTTTGCCGCTCTGTTAGACACGGGATAGAGTCCAGACGCGTGAAGAATTCCCGAAATATTTCATGGGCTATCTGTTCTGATCTGTTGACTCCCTTCCTTTACCACACAGCTTCCGCCAGTTTAGGTCCGGCCTGACCTATGATGGGCATGATTAAAAAGCCTTCTTTAGTGCTCACAGGGAGGAAACAGAAAGTGAAAACAAAAATCGTGTTTTGAAATTTATCCACGATATAGATGTTAAACTGAGATAAGAACTGTCCTTCCAACAGATTACATACAATTGTTACTCTCTTTGAAATGGATTGTTGAAGAATAAACAAACGTAACTTTACATCTATTTACAAAGTTTATTTTTTTTTCAAAAAAAATAATAGCTTATGTAGCTTTATTATGAGATTATTAAAGGATCCTGAAATGTTTGTTACTATTATGTAAAATAATAATCACAGTATTAATTGTCCTATTTGTAATCAATACGCACTTTATCTTATCCTATACTTTATATTTTCAACGGATATCATAATTAAATTGGTAATTTATCATGCTTGGAAGGGTTGTAGATAGTTATGTAGGAATGTGATTAACTATTAGCTCATATCAACATTTTCGATTATTAAAAAGTGGAATATAAAAGGTATTGATATGAAATGTATCTTTAAATTTTACTTTTTTCATAAGATAACCTGAACTTTTAATTCTGTTCACTGGAAAGAAATGAATTAAAATTTGTTTTCTGAAATAGATATAATTGCACAACTTATTCTATGTAACTGTTATTAAAACACATTTTAAATAATTCTTTATCAAGCATAAATTTAACAAAAATCAGATTTAGATTTTTTTGTAATTTTGTGCTCTTCTTGATAGAAACATTAAATTTTTATATAAGTTTTTTATATATGGTATGATAGTATTGATAGATTATTCAATATAACATAAAATCAGTTATTATTCATATGAAAAACTTCACTTTTTCCTGGATAAAAAAAAAACATTGCTTTCTTAATATATCCATTAAATTATTTGCTAATATTGGTTTAAAATAGAAACCTAAAAGTAATAGTTGCTATTTAAAAATAAAATAGAATGCACAATAATTTTAATTTTATTTATTATGAATTTTTCTTTACTATAATTGTTCATTAAAGAGAACTAAACATTATTAAGCATTAAAAAGCTTTATACTTCAATGTTCAATCATCAGCTAATTTATATTGAATAGTTTTAGATTTTTTTTAACAGAGATTCTAAAATTGCTGTTAATAGCTGATGATAAACCACTTGGTTGTAAAAGGCTCTTACATTCAATAACGTTACGTGACTCTTACATATTTAGGTCTGTTTTAATGCTTAATTGTTATCTAAGCTATAAGTAAAAAACAATTACAGTTGACCCTCCTATAACACTGTTGATTATTCCGTTTTATATGAATTCCATGTTGTACAATTCACTTAGATTTTACAAATACGTGTGCCGGGCTGTGAACGGTTCATGTATTTGTAATATCTAAGTGACTTGTACAACATGGAATTCATATAAAATGGAATAATCAACAGTGTTATGGGGGGTAGACTGTAATTCATATATACTTCAATAAAATATACACCCAAATAATAAAATCTAAGAATTTTATTTATTTCTATTTTTTAAATATTAAAATTATCAATATTGAAGGTAAGACAATAAATAGTCACATAAAGATGATTTTATTTATTTACTTATTTATTAACAGTTAATTTTAAAATAATTACAATATTTACATAAAATAGTAAAGATAACTCTTTTCTAAATGAGTTAACTTAGAATCTAAGTAATATTTTTTGAAATAAATAAATCTCATTTAAACATAAAAATTTATTAACAATAAACTGTAATATAAATAAAAGAATTAACAATAAACAATAAAATAAATTATTTCTTTTTGTATCTACGAACAACTGAACTCTTGGTAACAAAATGCTAAAAATTAATAAATTATAAATAAATAAAAATGTTTCAAGTTTCTTTTTCAGAAACTTTACAAACATTTTTATGTTTAGGCCAATCTTTTACTTGACATTCTCTATAAGAAAAATTAAACATTAAAATTATAAGTTTTATGATAATTAAGTTAATAATTATTATTTGTTTCAGGTCATTTACCTTCTACAATACCACTGAGTACCACAACGTGAACATCGTTTTTTAGCAGTATTACCACATGTTGCACATTTTGAAGAACTGGACTGCAGACTTTCCATAATATCTAAATCATACAGTTCTAACAACCTTAACAACAAAGAAAATAATTTTTTTGTTATTTTAATAGATATTTTTTATGATAAAGAGATATATTCAAATTTATATCTGTATAATAAATATTTTAGCTTAAAAATAAAGTAATTTTAACAAATTTTTTTTCGTGCATTAAGTAAATAAAATCTTCATTTATTCTTTCTTTAATGTAAAAGTATATAAATTTTATATCCAGTTACAATATAAAAAATTTATAACAATGAACAGTAACTAAAAAAAATTTTAATTTTTCGCATAAACAATTTTGTAAATTACTATTGTTATTATTACTTTGTTAAACATAAAATTTCTTAAAATTAGTATTTTACAAAAATATTAATGCAGTAACAAATTATTAAAACAAAATTTTATTTGTTGCATATTTTAAAATTAAAAATAACTTATTATATTGCACAAATATAGAGATACTTGATTCAATAACTTCTAAAATCAATTTTTTAAATAGCATTTTCTAGTTTCTTGGAAACAAATGCTATAACAGGTCATTTAAAATATTTTCTCATTTCCAAAAAACTTTATGATTTTAAAAATGCATAGAAAGACAAAAATGTCTTCACTCTTGCCATGTCCAATCATTGGGAATGATAATCTTCCACTGTAGAGACAACCTTTCTTCAGAGGCTATGCCTCTGTGAAAACATGCAAAACAGTCTAAAAATTCTTCAGTGACAAACCTAAAAAATAAATGTCTTCACTCTTGCCATGTCCTGATGATTGGACATGGCAAGAGTGAAGACATTTTAGTCTTTCTATGTATTATTACTCAATAAAAATAAAAACCATTCAACTATCCAGCATAATTCTTTAATAACATAAAAACGTTTTCAAACACATTAAGCATTCATCATCAGTTATTTCTCTAATTCCAAAATGGGAAATTCGAATTGGCATAGATCTATATAAAAGGCTTAATCAGGCTTAGTATGATCCTTGATAGATATTTTATTTATTTATTTATTTTTATTATTATTTATTAAACACACGGAAATTCGTATGTATCACTTTCATTTATAACATGTTACCTTTTAATTTTTTTGCATAACCATTTATTTGAAATTCGTTTGTGTTATTTTTCGAATTTCCCATTTTCTAATTAGAGAAATAACTGATGATGAACGCTTAATGCGTTTGAAAACGTTTTTATGTTATTAAAGAATTATGCTGGATAGTTGAATGGTTTTTATTTTTATTGAATTTATTCTCCAGTAAGCAAGTATTATTACTAATGTGTAAATATTAGTTATGTGCCGGATCGTTAAAAATGTATATCTGCGGATATGGATACAGATAAGGATCATTAGTGTCTAGATCCACGGATACGAATACGGATCTCAACTTTCGTACTCAGTCGGCGCCGGTGCCTGTGACCTTGGATCGATAGTTGACGCTTTGCGTTAGTAACGCGACGTGGTTTGACTTGCACTGCGCGTGTTTTTGTTTATGGTTTAGTGCAGGAGTGGCCAACAGTTTTTGCTCCCGGGCCGAATTGGAAAGAAAATTTTTTCCACGGGCCGAACCAGAGGCTGCCCTAGGAAGATTTTGAAGTAGTGCGAGATCTCATTGTGGTGTCACCCCGTAGAGACTAAATTGTACACAAAGATTACAGATATATTTTTCACATTATCATGCTTTATCAACATTCTACGCTGTACTTACGACGAGATTTGTAATGAAGGGTTAACTATAAACGCACAGTGATTTTCTTTTTTAGGCGTCAGAATTTTTCATTGAGCTATTCGGACTTTAGTAGCTAATATTGAAAGATTGATCATGGGCCACATAAATTCATTAGATGGACTGGATCTGGCCCGCGGGTCGTATGTTGGCCATGCCTGGTTTAGTGTGACACGGGATAGCGTAGATTATGTTTGTATTTTTGGAGAGTGTTGAGTTAAATTAAAATAAAAACAATGTCCACAAAAAAGTTTAGTAGTGTAATATGGAAATATTTTACAATAGTAAATGAATTTTGCATGATAAAATTTTTGCAATATGAATGTGCCAAATATGTGATTTTAAGAAATAAAAAGTGATTTGAATTGAAGNAAAGTTTAGTAGTGTAATATGGAAATATTTTACAATAGTAAATGAATTTTGCATGATAAAATTTTTGCAATATGAATGTGCCAAATATGTGATTTTAAGAAATAAAAAGTAATTTGAATTAAAGTTATTAGTATTTTACTGCTACCCATTTTTAAAATTTCATATAAGTAATGAAATTCATTAAGATAAAAGATCCGTTATGGATACGGAACTTTTTTTATCCCCTCGGATATCTGCGGATACGGATACCGGGCACATCACTAGTAAATATGTCAGCCAGTTTTTAAAAAGAAATATTGTATTTTTAATTTATGATTTTACTCTATAATGTTATTCTGGAAAACCCAATTTAGAAAGTCTGGTCAAAAGTATTTATTTTATAAGTAAACATTTTATTTTGAACTATGAGAACAATGCCAATCCATCACTGGATTTTCACAATCTTCAATTTAGACTGATTTGGAGTAACTTTTGAAAAGAATCAAGTCATTTTTATATACAATCTATTATATTCTATTAAACAATTGTTAATGCTAATAATAATAATAATTTAAAAATTAATATTAAAAAATTTACAGTTTTAAATGATTTACTGTTTTACATTTTATCAATTTTACCACTATTCAACTAATTTGTAAGTATTTAGAATTGTTTTCAAATTAAAAATATATTATGTTTAACATAAATAGATAATTAATATTTCATTAAACTAAAAATTAAAATTTATAAAAACATATACCTTTTAGTTACATCCATCATCTCTTTTTGTGCAGGACTAAAAAACTTCACAGCCTGAATATTGGCAATATTTTTCCATTTTTCTTTTCCTTTATTAAGCAATGATTCTCGTATTTCTGATATCTAAAGAGAATATTTCTTTAACAGCAAATTATCTTACTTTTAAGAAAATGTTAAATTATTTAAAATTTCAGAATAAAATGTTGAGGAAAAAAATGAAATTTGATATCAAGAAAACTCAGTTCAAAAATTCAAAGGAATTAAACTAAACTAAAATATGCATTTAATGTTGTACTTTTTTTATGTAGTACAATATTTAATATATTTCAATACAATATATACTTTTCAAAATAAATAAAATAAGAAAACTTTTGTTATTAATTTTCCAAACTAAAAAAGATTATACTTCAGCTAAATTGAATGGAAATTAGATAATGATGAATCTCATAAATTAAAAACTGAAAAAATGTAATCATTACAAGATACAAATGAGAAAGATAATTAAAAACATAATGATAGAAAATAAATGCTATAAAACAGATTTGATCTTTATAATTATCAAAATTCTATCAATTCAGTTAATTCAACCTAAATAATTGTCAATAATCATAACAGAAAAACAATTACAGTGAAATGCTGATATAACAAAATTATAAAGGACACCAAAATTTATTGGTTGTAGCAAAATTGCATTTATACTGAAATAATAAAAATGTCAGAAGGCTAGAAAAGTTATTTAAAAATTTTTGGACTGATAAAATATTGAAGTCCCAAGACAAGAAACATAAGCTCAATTTGCAACATTGTTTTCTGTATTTAGCATGGACAACAGAAGAGGTGAACCAAAGGAGGATCAAAATTTCAATTTACAGAATTCTCCATTCAAACCTTCACATTTTTCTATCATTTTAGTTTCATAAAATCACTTTCAGTTCCAGATAATCTTGCCAAACAGTTAGTGTTACACCTAGCAACTACCATCTGTTTGGATCTCTGAAGACACACATACCCACAAAGAAATTTTCATTAGCTAATGAAGCAGCCAATGTACTTTTCCACAAACAGGATCTGAAATTCTAGACAAAATATAAATCCCCTCATAGCATTGTGATAAATACCTCAATTATATTATAATTTGAGATATTCATTTAGTAATAATAATAATGAATACTCAGAATTCGTCCACGAAATAAAGCATCCATGAAAAATGTCTAAATCCATGTCCTATAGTCCTTTCTTGCACAGGTGTCATACCACGTACAGTACAGTACATTACAAAGTATCTGTTGAAACAGTAGAACTTTACAACAATACATACTCCACACAACACAAAGTTATCATATTAAACACGTGTCATAGAAATTTCTTAAATACAGATAAACATACGAACAGAACATAAATAAAATAATAATTTTATTTATGTATTGCTCTTGTGCACCGGTATATAAACTGAGAATACAATCCACCAACTCTATAACAAGATATTTTTATTAGGATAAGATAATAGAATTAGCTTATTAGAATTTTTATTAAGGTAATTAATTCATTTTCAGAAATTTCAAAAAAAAATTTTTTTTGTAAATTTAAAATTAAAGTACTGTAAATATGAAAAAGTCTAATCATATTCTACATATTTTATAATGTTTTTGCGGTAGTTGGACGACAGTAAATTATTATTTCTTAGAGGGAAAAATAAGCACAAANAGATAATTAAAGGAAAGAATACAAAGTAGTCCGATTGTTAAATTTAATAGCACATCAGACGTAGTTACGCTAACATTTATCATGGAAAAATTGAATTTCATTAATATTACTTATCTTCAATTTAAAATGTTTATGAGTTAACTGATTATACGCTACTATAATTAACAATCTTGCTTTCATTGCTTTAAAATACCAGATAATGATCATTTCTACGCTATTACGGCTCCTTTTTTATGTTAGTTTACAAACTGTAAATACTTACTTTAAATATTATTTTTACAGATAAATTAAACTAAATATTACATTAAAATCCATCAAACATATCAAAATATAAATTGTCTAAGAATGTATTAATTACAATTATTCAAGAAGATATTAAAATAAATGAATATTTTTATATATTTATAGCATTATTTGCATTTAATCATTTTAATTTCTTAATAGAAACCTATTACAATTTACTTTTTTATATTATAATTTGAGATATTCATTTAGTAATAATAATAATGAATACTCAGAATTCGTCCACGAAATAAAGCATCCATGAAAAATGTCTAAATCCATGTCCTATAGTCCTTTCTTGCACAGGTGTCATACCACGTACAGTACAGTACATTACAAAGTATNTAAAGATCAAAAAGTAAAATTTTCAATAACACCTAAAAATTTTAAAAGTTTATTTTAAATTACTAACTTGTTCTATTATTACTTCAGATTTTCCTTGTGGAGGATCCGATATAGAAAGATAATATAGGTATCTTTGTAATTGTTCTAAAACTGGAATCTGATCGATGATAATATCATTCAAATAATTTTGTAGCTAAAAATATAAAAAAGCAAGCATCTCTTTTACAGGTTCATTAGAAAAAAATTTTTTAATTAAACATAAAAATTTTTTATCCATTCTAAATTATACAAGTAACTGCAGAAAATAGATTTTCTTACTTTTAAAATTTTGTTTTTTCTGTAGTTATTAATTATATATTTTCTCTTGCAATCATCATCAAGTAATAAATGAAATAAACCAATCCAAATCTAAAAAAATTTAACAAAATAAATATATAATAGATTATATAATTTTTATGCAAATTAATTCATAATATTAAGCCTAATGAACTGGGTCAGGCTATAAGAAGAATGATTAAGCTTAAAGATACACAATTAAACCTATGCATCTTGCAACAATAATTAAATTAATTTATAATTATTAATAAGCAATTTAGAAGATTCTGAAAGATGATCCAGAATGATACTTAAGCCTGCATCTTCTCTATTGTACACAGATTTCAGCTGGACTTTCTGACTCCAAATAAAAACTACATTACAACAATAAAATTGATAATTAGTAAAAACAAATTACAATTATTCCAAAATCTCTTAAAACACTTAACTTGATTAAGAAAAGAATCTAGCTGAAGAAAAACCCTTAATCAACACAAACTGGTTACAATTCAACAGCTACACACTGAACAACAAAAGTGAAGACTAGCTTGCTGCTGCATCAGTTTGACAATGTTCTTTTACATTAGTAGTAATTCAAACACAAATAATTATCATATTTATTTTCAGGCACTTGGCAATTCTTATCATCAAGTTTTTATTCAGTTGATACGTGTTGATATTACACACGTTTCGGGCATTTATTGCCCCTCTTCAGCCAACTTTTTAATTTACATATTGCTTTTACATATTGCTGATTTACTGCATACCATATATGCTTATAAGAAATAAGGTTTTGCTTAACTTATGCCTCTAACAATATATGTTTAAAAAATCCTAAATAATTGTCTACTTATATTTATAAATGTGACTACAATATTAATTTTGTGAGAAGAAATTCCATTTATTATTCAAATCTTACTATGAAATTATGCATGAAGCTCTAGTTGAAAAGTTTTGAGATAGCAGTTGAGATTTAACAGATCTTAACCCAAAAACCAAAATAAACAAAACAGAAAATAAATAAACTAACATTAAATATAACTATAAATAAAAATTTCTGTCTTATTACTTTACACCTTGTCAAATTCCTGTATTTCATAAATTGGGTTGCAATTTGAAAAAATTATAAACCTATAAATTTCCACTGTTGTCCATCCATTTGTCTGTCCTTTAATCTTGAGAATAGTGTTAGATAGATGAAAACCAAGACCAGATATGAAAAGCTTGGGCAGGAGGCCCCAATTAACTATATACAAACTTCCGATCTAGACTGGAAATCACACAATTTCAATTCAAAAAGTTCCCATGAATAGAGTTACATAGATGACCAGCATGACTGACTTTAATTTAGACCAAGGTTGTCCAACCTTTTTTCCTAATGGGCCAAATTAGAAATGTACATATATTCAGTGGGCCACAAAGGTACTTTATATAAATATATGCTTTTAAAAAGTTAAAAATGTGAATATCAAAATTTTAATAACAAATATATATAATTACATAAACTATTGTTTTATTGACAGTAAAAAAAAATTATACTCACACAAAATAAAAATAAATTCAATGTGATTTTTGACATTTCCTTCCTTTAATAAAGTTGTCAATATCTGCTTTTATGGTACTAGTCTTAATTCTAAGAATGTTAGTTAAATGGGAATCACTCAACCTATTTCTTCCAGCAGTTTTGATGTTTTTCATGCACGAAAAGAATTGTTTACAACAGTATGTTATACAGGTGGTGTAGTACAGTTTTCAAGTACCAATTAAATCATTATGACATCAAAGTGTATCCAGTGAAATGAAAATAATTTTTAATGTGAAGTTAATGAAAATAATTAGTGAAAAAGGTATTGTTTTGATCTAATTAGTTCTTATTGGAACTCAGTAAATTATATATTAAGTATCACAATGCAGTTCCAGGATTGATTATATTATAAAGGTGGTGGTGGAGTGTATCCTATATAGTAGTCAAAATTAATAAATTGGCCCAGAGTGAGACTCAAACTCACAACAGCCACTTACTGTGCATATGCATTGCCAATTATGCTACCTGGACATCTGTCAGATCCTTCGCAGCTGTTGTGGGTTTGAGTCCCATTCTGGGCATATTTCTTCTTCCAGAATTTTCTAAATTATTTAATAAATATTAATTTAATTATAATTATTAAACTTAATAAGATATGGAACTTAATGCCTACTTCTAAGCCAAATTACTGGCTTCAATAATTGCCAGATTAAATCAGGCAACATTACTGCTACTATTAATATAGTAGCAGTAATGTGGCCTGATTTAATCTGGCAATTATTTGGCTTTAATATAACTGGGTGGTTTCCAGTTTTGGACAGACTGTGTCTTCAAATTAATTTTCAAAAAATTGCCATCAGACAAAATTCTACAATTTAATATATTTATCAGGCTTGGAGATGTTTATATATGTGTTTCTAATGTTTATTTTGTGGTGTAATGTATGTGGTATGCTACCCATGCAAAAAAAAACATTTGATTCTAAGCATTCCATTTTGGAATACAATTTGTTTAAGAACTTGAAGCAGTCCTTGGGTAAGGTCAAAAGCGTTAGTTCAATATTGTATTAAATGTTGTTACCAGAATTAAAGATTGAGTAATTGCGTTGAAAAGACTACAGCCACAATAATTCATTCTCCACAAATACTTTATTTCAGGGGCAAATTCTGAATATTTACTAATTTTTTCAGTGTATGTATTTTGTATGTTATGGATGTTTGCTACAGCTATGTCTAAAATGCATGTCATTTTATTTTGTTTGTCAATGAATATGATGTCTAGTCTGTTGTAATAAATTGTTTTGTTACTGATTATGGCCTGATTATAGGATATTTGTGTGTGTTGTTTTCTATGACTATATAAGATGTGTATTTGTAATTTGGTTGCTGGGTGTGTACAAGTTTTTGATGTATTACATTTGCTATTTGATTATGTCAATGTAATTAATCTATCTATTTGTGTTAAAAGCTTGCAGCCTGATGTGTTGTATAGTTTTATGCATGATGTCATATTTCCTACAAATGTCATCTGAAGGTGATGTATCTTTTAAAATGTGCTTTCTGTATGTAGTTTCATATATTTATGACTGGTGTTGTATGGCAATCGTGAATCCTGTCTTTCCAAAAAAGCATCCATGAGTCAGCCATTGGTTTGAAACAGTTCTGTTAATGTGTTCCTAACTGAGATCATTAGGGTGCCTATTGTGGTACTCTTTCTGTTAATAAATGAAAACTGTGATTGTGTTACTATGTTAGATCCAGGTCAGTATTGATTACGTTTAATGGTATATTATTTTTGTGTGAAAGAGTTACAGCTTTGTGTAATTCAGATGTTTCTGATTTTCTGTAAGAAACTCTTACAGTGTATAATATATCTGAGGCAATTATGATCATGTACCTCTTTTCAAGATTAGTCATATGCATGTTGATCAATTTCATATCAAAAATGTTGCAATCTCCTGAGCAACAAGTTAGCTAAACACTTCTTAAAAGTGCACTAGATGACACAGAAGTTTCAGAATGACTTTGGTGAGATTGCATATTGAGTCTCACTTCAAGTTAAAGAGAGTATCAAGAATAAAACAACACTTTGGTGAACTGAACTGAAAGTAGTTCCAAATTCAATGTGTTTAATTGTACACTTGATATCACCACTCACCAGAAAGTCCAATTTACCAGCCTAAACAAAACCATTAAAAAAGTTTTGCAGCTATGTTTCTTGAAAATTTGACTGAAATGAAAGACAAAATGCTACATTCTTTCTAACACTTGCCACAATGAGCTAGCTCCTGAGACAGATAAACAACCACTCAGAAGTTCATAGTGCCATTAAGGGTAAATTGCAAGACTTAAAAGACATCCATAATCTAGTTAAGTTTTTGATTGTTAAAAATCATGTATTGGTCAACAGGTTACCAAATGTGTGCACAGCCTGCATACATTTTTTGACAATTCCAATAACTGTTATCAATTGTGATCACTCTTTCTCTAATTCAAAAATTCTTAAAACTTATCCAAAAACCTGTCTGAAACAATTTTCCACACTATTCTAACTTCCATTGAGCAAGACTGTGCAAAGAAATTAGATCTGTCAGATATTTCTTAGAACTTACCAAGAATAAAACTTGAAAATACAGGTAGATTGCTAGTGAAAAAAGTGATTAGTGAACATAAACTTATTCCAGTCTGCAGTAAAATTTAAAAAAAAAGTAAACAGAACATAATAATTAAAATTAAATAAAATTCACAGAAAACAATAAAAAAAGTGATTGAAAAAAATTGTAAAACAAGCATCATTTCAATTTATACCTAGTCCATAATGAATTTTCTAGATGGTGCTGACAGCAGCAGTGCATGAAAATTTATTCTGAGATTTCTGATCTAGATATGGGAGTCCACTCTTAACTGTTTGTCTCTGGGCCTGCTAACTTGAGGTTGTGCCATTGGCCTTGTCCTCCCTATTTATAAGGAAAAGTCAGTCTTTCTGCAGAGAAGTTAGAATGATATTTGTTATATTTTGCTAATGCTATTTGTGTTTTTCTTTTTTTTTTTTGAAATTGTTCTAGTTCTGTATGTGTCCATTGTATAACTTTGTTGATTGCTTTAAATGTGTGTTTTGCATTCAGCTGTGTTAGTACTGTACTGAGTTTAATCTGCTGTTGTATACTTTTGTGTTATTACATTTTTATGATAAACAGAAGATTTTAAAAACTAAAATATAAGAAAGAAAAATGACAATTATTTTTTATATCTGTAGTATTATATATAACTTGTCTTTTTCATTTATTTAAAATAGAATGTTTAATAATTAATTTCAAACAGGCTGTGTAGTAGAATTGGTTCAAGAAAATGGATATTAAGGCAAATTTAGTGATTCCAAATCTTGTATGTAAAATTAAAAAATTACACATATGAACAATAAAACCTGTCCAAAATGGAACCTGAATAAAATAAAACCTGTCTAAACATAAAAAATTCTTCAAAATGGAGCAATTTTCTATGTTAAGTAAAACCCTTTAAAATGTAAATCTGCCAAACTGAAAGATATATTTGGAACCATGCAATTCCAGTTTATACAGGTTTTACTGTATATATTTATTACCTGTCCTTCTGTTTTGGTCAGTTTTAATCTTTCTTCAGCATCTACTTCTATCCATTTACCTTCAAAATATTTTTTGCATTTTTCATTGGAATGAGACTGAAGCCATGGTTTCATTTCAAGAATTGTGATTAGAAATATAGGAAAATCATGAGTACTTAATAATCGATGCAGAGTACTTAATGGTAACCTAAAATTTAAATCATAAAATTAATATAAAATTTTATTTTTACTAAATTATCATATATACTTGGGTATAAGACAATCTCGCTTATAGGACGAGGCGTGACTTTAAAGATCAAAATAAAAAAAATTAGATTTATTAATACAATTCTAATTTTATTTTGTTTAATCACAAAATATTATCAAACGCACGTATTAAGGCAAACAACCATGTTTGCCTTAATACATGACGAACTGAAAACAAAACCAAAACATTATCGCGTGATTGGAAAAAGTTTATTTTTAATGATTCAGAATGTGCTAATATTCATTAAAAATAACAATTTAACTAATATAAAATAACTACATTTATAATCATTGCTAAGTGACCTGTATTTCATTAATGTTTTTATAAATAACGAGAAACTATTTTCTGCGAACGAATGAGATGCAACACAGTTTTTAATTGATGGATGTAGGATTAAACCAATAAACAAAAAGGTATATGTCTTAATTTGTTTACAGTAGGTGCCAACTTATGATAAATAGACTGTAGACCTATAATGACAGCATGAACTATACACAGTTCACAGAAATTATTGCAAAAACGCGAAGAATCCTTTGTTTGCACGTATAGGACGACCTATGTTTTTGAAGCAGTGAAAAATAATAAAAACCTCATCTTATATGTGAGTAAATACGATATTAAATAACAAAATTATATCAGTAATAACCAGCAATTTACTACATAATAACAAATGTTTTTAACAATTTTTAAATCATCATCATCATCATCATCAGGTTAATTTAAAATAGCAGTAGAGCAGTTTGTTTAAAGTAACATTCTAATTTTCAAATATATGTTCGACTGCCATTTTAATCTGATGATGACAATTTAAAAAATTGTTGAAGACATTTGTTGGGGTGCAATTTGAAAAAATTGTAGATCTATAAATTCCCACTGTCATCCATCCATCTTTCCTTAATCTTGAGAATGGAGTTAGATACATGAAAGCTGAGACCAGATATGGAAATCTTAGGAGCAGGAGGCCCTGATTAACTATATATGAGCTTCTGATACAAACTGGAAGTCATGTTATTTCAATTCAAAACTTTCCTCTAAAAGCAGTTAATAGAAGACCAACATGACTCCATTGCTAACAGAAAAGTATGATGTACTGTACAGGGTAAGCCATTACTATAGTAATTTGAGATGGAGAGCATATATTTTAAATTAAATTAATTAATAATTGCAGCATGGCATTGTGATGATGTCATTTTTATTTGGTAAATTTCTGGATATTACTGGTATCATTTCGTTATTTATAATTAAATTCAAATTTTTTAGTAGTNTCTTTCCTTAATCTTGAGAATGGAGTTAGATACATGAAAGCTGAGACCAGATATGGAAATCTTAGGAGCAGGAGGCCCTGATTAACTATATATGAACTTCTGATACAAACTGGAAGTCATGTTATTTCAATTCAAAACTTTCCTCTAAAAGCAGTTAATAGATGACCAACATGACTCCATTGCTAACAGAAAAGTATGATGTACTGTACAGGGTAAGCCATTACAATAGTAATTTGAGATGGAGAGCATATATTTTAAATTAAATTAATTAATAATTGCAGCATAGCATTGTGATGATGTCATTTTTATTTGGTAAATTTCTGGATATTACTGGTATCATTTCATTATTCACACTTAATTCCAGTTTTCAAATATTGCACAATTATTGTTGTTGCCAACATTTTTTCCTCCAAATCATGCTGATGAGATTTGTTAAATTGTGATGTTTACATGATGTGGTAGAATAAAACTTGCATGTGCGACAGCTTTAGTTTCTCTCAAATATGAGAATGCAGTCCAACATTATGATTTGTATTTTATCAATTGGTTTGACAATGCAATAAATGAAAAATCTGACAGCTTAGATTTCTGTGACAGTTTTTGCACCTTATTAGTGACTTTGACCACTAATAAGGTGCAATTTGGTCAAATGAGACAAATTCTTGCCTATTGTAGTTCTGAGCAACAAAATGTTGGTGGTAGTTTCATGTAAACTAGTCTTTAAGACTGATTTCTTATGCTAATAACTAGAAATCATTCCTAAATAAGAATTTACTTTGTTCAGCATCATCTAGGTTCTTAGCTATTTTCCTCTATTTTTAAATGAATTTTTAACTAGTCATATTTAACTTTTTAACCATTTATATTTTTTAGATTTTTCAGTAAAGTTTCTGAAACTTTTGAAAAAGCAAGGGTAAGAAGCTTGTAAATTTTAACTTCTTAAAAAATTTTATTATATTCTGATAATCTAAACTTTTTCAGAAATTGGAAGGAAGAGTTGCCTCTGACGAGGATCTTAAACTATCAGATACATTAAGATATTATATGAGGGATACAGCTGCTGCTAAAGTAATTTCATATTCATAAATTTGAATATTAAGAGTTGAATTAAGGCAATTTTATATGACTGAAAATATTTTCTACAATTGTTTTATTTAAAATATATTTTATCCACTTCAAATTAGTACTGTACATCATACTTTTCCATTAGATAGATGACCACCATGACTCCATTGCTAATGCCTTTCAGGGGAAAATTTTTGAATTAAAATAATATGACTTCCAGTTATCATTGGAAGTTCACATATAGTTAATTGGGGCCTCCTGATGCCACTAAGCTTTCCATATCTGGTCTTGAATTTCATTTATCTAACACTGTTCTCAAGATTAAGGAAAGACAGACAAAAGTAGGAATTTATAGGTCTACAGTTTTTTTCAAATTGCAGCCCAATAAACTGTTGTAATGCTGTGAATGTGCATTTTGAGATATATATTTCACAAAAGTAAATTATTTACAGGATTAAAGAATTAGCTTAAATTTTCAGCCTTAAATCTTCAATTACAAAAAAATACATGCATAAACTTATGCACATACTGTTTCCCAAATAGTACATTAAGTAAATTCCAAAACAATCATTTTTAAAATATGATAAAATTTAGAGAAAATTAGATTTCACACTTTAAGGTTAATTTAGTGATATAACATAACCATTTTTGATTTTATAAAATTTAGTAGTTAAAACAATCATTATCTGTAAATATAATTTCAAGCTGTTATTTTAACAAATGTTTTCTACATTTTTGGGGGATTCTCATTCTGGTTTTTTTAAATCTAANGAATTAGTCTAGAATCGATTAATTTTATGAAAGAAAACCTTTCAAACAGCCGTAGTCCGTAAACTATGATTCCTACAAAATTGATTCATAAAGAACGGAACGTATCTACCGTCTTATAGGGGGATCTACTGTATTTCAATATACAAAGAAATAAAAATGCAGAAATATGAAAGATAACAGCATTTTTTATGTATGTTAATTATTTGAAATAAGTAGATGATGTCCCTTTTGATAGCATACAATAACTTAGATAGCCTATTCTTGGTCTCAATTTAAGTTATCACAGCAGAGTCTACGGGTATCTTCTCGTTGGTGATAATATTGTTGCTATTATATTGCTCTGCTGGTTTCCATAGAGATTTAATGTTAATGGCTTTTTTTAACTACATGTGCATGATGTTCTGTTATTTCATCAATAAACAAGTTTTAGAAACTAAAGAACATTGTGTAACTTTGCATTCACTCTACTTTATTTAGAATAATCTTAAAAACATCAATCATTATCCATTTTTGAAAATGGATAGTGATTGATTGATCATTTTATTTAAAATGGTGTTTAAAATATAACAATTGAGAAACAAAATATGAAAAGCAATCTAATATATTGTTTTACTTTCCACATGCAAATATATCTTGGAATTAAATTACCTAATTTAAGAACCAGTTTAAAAAGCTATGAAATTAAATATAGAGGAGAAGGTGATATTATAGAATCCCATTTTCATTATAGTGAATTGTAAACAAGATATCATAACAACACCCACATTTTTTGTGCGAAAAGTACTGGTAACTATTAAACTAGATGTTCCTAATTGGATTTTTCACTAGTGTAACTACAAGTATGGTTTTTGAAATATGTACAATAAAACCTGTCCAAAATGGAACCTGAATATACGGGAATATAATATACCAGGAAAAATAATCGGAACAGTGCGATTCCGGTTTACACAGGTTTTACTGGATATATATTGTATACAGTAAAACATGTCCAAAATGGAACCTGAATAAAATAAAACCTGTCTAAACATAAAAAATTCTTCAAAATGGAGCAATTTTCTATGTTAAGTAAAACCCTTTAAAATGTAAATCTGCCAAACTGAAAGATATATTTGGAACCATGCAATTCCAGTTTATACAGGTTTTACTGTATATATTTATTACCTGTCCTTCTGTTTTGGTCAGTTTTAATCTTTCTTCAGCATCTACTTCTATCCATTTACCTTCAAAATATTTTTTGCATTTTTCATTGGAATGAGACTGAAGCCATGGTTTCATTTCAAGAATTGTGATTAGAAATATAGGAAAATCATGAGTACTTAATAATCGATGCAGAGTACTTAATGGTAACCTAAAATTTAAATCATAAAATTAATATAAAATTTTATTTTTACTAAATTATCATATATACTTGGGTATAAGACAATCTCGCTTATAGGACGAGGCGTGACTTTAAAGATCAAAATAAAAAAAATTAGATTTATTAATACAATTCTAATTTTATTTTGTTTAATCACAAAATATTATCAAACGCACGTATTAAGGCAAACAACCATGTTTGCCTTAATACATGACGAACTGAAAACAAAACCAAAACATTATCGCGTGATTGGAAAAAGTTTATTTTTAATGATTCAGNATTCAAATAATGTTAAAAATCAAATACTAACACAGAATAATGTTCTGTTAGAAAACCAACAACTGACAATACTTTCATGCTAATTTCAAAATTCAGCACATTTTCTTGTTTAATAAGATCATCCATTCCAGATTTAGTTTCAGATTCAGTAAATGCTTTATTCTTATTATAACTGAAATCAAATGAAAAACAAATCTTAAATAATTTATTACATAAAGCCGCAAATCTGTATTAAGTGTAATAAGTTATTTTTGTTAAATTTACATAAAATTTATAGTTAACTAAATCATATTTCTTTATCAAAAATATTACTAACTGACTTTTTAATATATTTAAAACAACTTGAGCATACAGTTCAAACTATACAATGTTAATATACAGGTAATTTTCAAAGTAATGCAAATGTTAATGTTCTATCTTCAAATCCTAGATGTGAAAAAGATACAAAATGTTTACTATCATGCAACAAATTTTGCTTAAAATAAATTATTATTATTATGTTGGGTTCTGTGAGTTATACTCGGTTCACACCGGTGGCTATGTACTATGCCGGACCAGAGTCAAAGCATAGCAACCAAAACAAAACTAAAATTAAATAAAGTGTCAGTGTGTGTTTCTGTATTCAGGAATTTCCTAACAATGTGGCATGTATTCAATATGCCTTCTGTAGTGTGATGCATGTATTTATTTGGATGATCAGAGAAAAAAGTCAACTTTTTGAAAACAAAAAACTAGTTCATTTTTTAGGATGTTATAATGTTGGCTTTTGCTTATATAGATAAAAATAATGCAAATTAACTTTTTAGGATGTTAATGTGATAAAGATAAAAGTACATTATGTTTATAATTACAAAAAACTCAGAATCAATATAAAGTAACTTGTGTCTTTTTATCCTCTGAACATTGATTTTTCAATATTAGGCAACTATCCTAATATTGAAAAATTAGCCAATGCAATTTGTATTAGAAGATTTCAAAAATGAAATCTTCTGTAGCAATCCTAATGGCTTGAATTGTCCTCAATAATGCCAAAATGACATCTTTAGATAAATGTTTCAATTTCAAAACACAATAAATACCAAGTAACTGTGGTTTTGCATTACCTAAGGCAAATATATAAGTGAATACATTTTTCTTATAATTTATAAAAGCTTTGCTATGAATGAACCAAGCACATAAATACTGTAGTACTTTTAAATTCAACTGTACCAAACAAGTGATTTTTTTTTAACTCTTGGGAACTAAGGAAGCCTTTTACATATAAATGTAAATGTATATGCAAAAAAATATAAATATAAATGTAAATGGAATTGTTTGCTCCTTTAAGGAGTAAACAATTCCATTTACATTTATATTTTTTGTACTTTTTTTAAAGTAACTTATGAAGTTATATTCCACTATGTACAGTTAGAACTCTTTATGAACACTTGTCAGGTTTTGAGAAGAGCTGAATTATTGGAATGCATAAAATGAGCACATCTTTCCATGATATTTCTTGTAAAGTTGACCACAGTGACTGTTCACAGAATGATTGAAGAATAGAAGGGAAAGACATTCAAAGAATAAAATCCAGCACAGGACTATCAGAAAAACAACAACATAAGATTGTTCCTATGACCACTAATAGATGAATAACTGTCAGAAAGTGGCCTTTTTGTGATATATCAGACCTCATTCTTCACCACACAGCTGCCCATTGTAGACCTGGTCAAATTCATAATGGGCTTGTTGGGGTCTCTTAGTGCCCACAGAGTGGAAAGAGTTTAAAAAAACAAAAATGAATAACTGCAGTTGAAATCCAATTGGTTCTCATTAACCCATGTTTGAACAATTTTAAGGTTAATAAAAGCAACCAAAATTTTAAATAAAGTTTTCATTTATTTAGCACTTCCACTTTCACTTGACCTAATAATTAATTCACAATAATTAATATCCAGTAGGGGAGCATCTGTCACTGCTGTATCTTCGTTATTAACTTATTTCTTTCTTATAGGTAAGTCTTTACTATTATGGCAGTCAATCCGAAAAGAAAATCGTATTCACCGAGCTTCAGGGAAGCAGAGACCAGTAGTAAAAAGAAATCTTTGAAGAGTCGCGAGGAGGAAGAATTTGCATATCTTCTGGAAGGAGAAGATTTTAACCTCGAAGAGGGTATACGTGTTCTGTTGCGTTTACATCTCTCTATGAATTCTAAGGTCGACCAACTTATTTCTAGGTTAAATTATGTATCCGAATGGTTAAAAANAGTTTTTAGTATTTATGACCTGATCCTGTATGGCAATCATGAATCCTTCCATCTCCCCAAAGAGGCATCCCCGATCTAACCAGCTGTTTTATTATTATTATTATTATTATTATTATTATTATTATGTTGGGTTTAGAGGGTTATACTCGGTTGACACCAGTGGCTGTGTACTATGCTGGACCAGAGTCAAGGCATAGCAACCAAAACAAAACTAAAATTAAATACATGTGTCAGTGTCTGTGTCTGTATTCAGGAATTTCCTAACAATATGGCATGTATTCAATATGCCTTCTGTAGTGTGATGCATGTATTTCTATTCAATTGTAATGTTTCCAGGCTTTTGTGTAGTATGTGTGGTATCACACCTGTACAAGAGAGAACAACAGGCACAATACGAATCCTATCCATCCTCCACAAATGCCTTATTTCCTGGGCAAGTTCTGTATACTTGCTAATTTTTCAGTGAATGTGTTTTGTATATTGTGAGTGTTTGGAATGGATATGTCTATAATGTATGTGATTTTATTGTGTTATTATTATTATTATAAAGTTGCAAATGTCATGCTCAGCTCTTATTGGAGCCAAGTGCTATGCCAGACTAAAGTCAGATCATAGCTACTCAATCAAGTGTAACAATAAGTTGTGTTATTGGTATGTGTGTCAATGTTAGGAACTTCCTAACAATGTGACATGTGTTCAATATTTCAGCTTTATGTAGTGCCATATATATGTTGTTATTAAGGTTTAATGTTTCTAGTCTTTTGTGTAGTGTATGTAGTATAACACTAGAAGAAGAGAGGACAACAAATACAATAAATACGCTATCCATTCTCTACATCTGTCTTTTTTTGAGCAGGTGGAATGTACTTGTTGATTTTTTCAGTATGAGCATTTTTTATGTTAGGAGTGTTTGGAACAAAGATATCTATTATATATGTGATCTTATTGCATTTGTCAATGAGAATGATGTCAGGTTTATTGTGATAAATTGTTTTATCTGTGATTATGGCTCTGTCATAGTAAATTTTGTGCGTGTCATCTTCTAATATTGCATGTGAAGTATATTTGTAGTATAGTACCTGGGTGTTTAATAATCTGTGTTTGTATGCAACCTCTTGGTGTATTATATCTGCTATTTGATTATACCTATGTAAGTAGTCTGTTTGTGCTAAAAGCTTGCAACCAGAAGTTATATATTGCATTGTTTCTGACAGAATGTGGCATTTACTACAAAAGTCATTTGTGAGTGATGCATACTTCAGGATGCATAATTTTTAGTGTTTATGACCTGATCTTGAATGACAACCATAAAACCCTCAGTCTCTCCAAACAGGCAGCCCCTAGTCAGCCAGTAGTTTGGATTCAATTTTGTTAACATAGTTCTGAGCTAGGTGGACACAAAAACAGACACACTGGCTAGTGGTGTCTGTTTTTGTGTTGAGCTATGTCCAGTTGCTCAGAATGTAAGTTTAAAGGTGTGTGATTACTGTCTACTAGTTATAGCTTTATGTAATGTTGATGTTTCTTGCTTTTTGTGGAAAACTCCCACAGAGTCTGATTTGTTTGTAGTGCAGTTTGTAGGAAATTAGTCAGACCATGGCATCTTCTTTACAAGGAAGAGTTAGTCTTTCTACGGATGATTTTGGGTGATATTGTTTATGCTTAGTAAGTGTTGTTCTTGTTTTCCTTTGGAGTTGTTTGAGATCTGTGTGTGTCCAGTGTATAACTTCAAAGGAATAAAGTGTGTACAGGGCCAACATAGGTATTAATAGCTTTAATAGTATATTTTGCATTTAGGTGTGTTTTTAGTACTGCATATAATCTGTTCTGGTATTCGTATGTTAACCTTTGTTTTATCTGTGCACGTTCTGATAAGTTTGGCCTATTGGAATCCTAAATATTTGTAAAACTCACCTTCTTCCATGAACTCAATTTCTCCACTTCTAAATGCAAAGTCTCCTTTCTTCAGAACTCCTTTTTTCAATGTGTAGTGTTTTGCATTTATCTAGATCAAACTCCATTTGTATATTGATTGAGTATGGGTGAATAGTTTGTAAGAGATGATGAAGTTGATTCTGTGTGGATGCATAAAGTTTGATATTATCCATATACTGTACATGAAGTGTGGTAAGGTGAACAGTATTTTGTTATGTCTGATATTGTAACCATATTGTATTTTGTTCAATGTGTTAGAAAAAGGAGATTCCTTGCTTGATGTGTATTTGATTTGTTTATCTGAGTGTTATGGAATTTAAGATGTAATGTTATTCTCCAGTAAATCATGGTAGAACCAAGGAAACTGATGTTGGGGATAAATTTTATAGATGTGAAGTGTGTGCAGCAGCCAAGTGTGTGGGACACTGTCAAATGCTTTACTGTAATCAATGTACAGTATGCTATGTGTATGTTTCTGTGTTGCTGTTGTAGGATAACAGAGTCAACAAGTAGTTGTTCTTTGTAACCTTTGTAATTTCTAAGGCAGAATTTTTGTTGTTCCATAAGAATATTGTTTTCATCAATATGATTGTATATTTTGTTTGCAATGCAAGAGGTAAGAATCTTGTAAACTGTTGGAAGACATGTAATTGGTCTGTACTGTGCAAGATCTTTGGTATTTTTGCTTTTGGTTTGGTTTTATGTAGGTGATGCTCTGTGTGAGAAAAATTGGCATGTCTTGTGGATTGTTGATGATATGAGTTAAATGTTTAGCTAGTTCCTGGTGCAGGGATGTAAATTTTTTTTTGAACCAGAAATTGAGAATGCTGTCTACACAAGATGTTGTCGAGTTGTGTGCATTCTGTATTGTGCAGATTTCTTGTGTATTTATTTCAACACAATGCATACTAGGTGTGTCTTGCTTGTTTTTGCTCTCCTCTTTGATCCGGTCTGCTTCAGCATTGTGCATGACAGCAATAGACCAAAGAGAAGACTGATAATTTGTGAGTTCTTCTTCAGCTGGCATGCCATTGTGTTGAAAATCTGTAGTGGATTTGGTAGTATTTGCCTGTAGAAGAGATTTTCATTGTAAATAATTTATTTTGTTGTTTCCATACAGAGCAAATTTTGTATTGTTTGAGTCACCATGCTTTGGCTGAAAGATTTTGTTTCAGTATGTCAATGTATTCTGCGATGTGGACATTGTGTTGTTCATATTTGGTGTATATTTAATTTTCTTGAAAATTTTTTTAGTTGTTTTGTTAATTTAGACATTGTTTTGTTATTAGCATATTGTGTCCGCCTGCCTAGCTGCTGTCTAATATTGTTTATTTGTGTTTCTAGTCTTCTTTGCCAGGCAGGCTTCTGAAGTTTTTGATTTGTATGCTTCTGTCTGTGGATGCAGTTTTAGTCCATGGTAGATCACTACTGTCCTGTCCATGTTAGTCCTGTGACTTGCACCTGCATAGACTAGTATGTGAATGTCTGAGAGTAGAGAAATAGAATGAGTGCAATCTGGTAATACGTAATTGTTCACATAGTATAGAGTTTTCCCTACTAGTTTAAAAGTGTTGATTTGGAAATGCATGGTCATTGTGCAGGCTTAGTGCCTGTAAATTTTGTGAGTGCTTCCTGGAAAAGAAGAAAGAAATTATGAATTAAACCTGAATCTATTTCAAGCAATGAAGAAGTGTTGATGTAGTGAAAATAGTGGTGGTAGGAACATCATTGTCAATGCAAGTATCTTGATGAGCCTGAAGGATTATGCGATTGTTTGCTGATGTACTTGTTCTGCAATTTGTAGTTTGATATGTTTTAGTGTTGTTTGTGATATAAAATTGTTGTGTATAATTGTTCCTTTTTTTGATCAACAACCCTTTGTGCAGTGATAGTGAGATGAGGATATTGTTGTGAGAACAAGTGATGTAACTGTTGTCTGTATGCTGTCAAGTCTGTTTTGAGTTTTGTGATGGTGTAGTAAGTACAGATGATAAACTCATTCATTTCTTTTGTCCATTTCATCTGTTGGAGTGGTTTACCTGCCTTAATGGTCTGTGACTGGATTGCCTCAGAAACATCAAGATTCAGCCAGTTTCTCACAACTTGTGTGGGCATTGCAGTAGCCATACTTAAACCACTGCTGCTTTCACCATTAGTGGCCAAGGGAGACTGTGACACATTTTTCAAATGTGAACCTCTGCCTAACTGACAAGTGTGAAGCTTGTTAACACGAACTACATCCAAGCCTGTATTACATTTGAATCATGTAATACAGGCACTTTGTTAGATCTCAGATTTGGATTCAGTCACTCTTGGCTTCATTTTTCACCACAGACCTAACTGGCATAGTGACTCTACCAGGAGCTGATGCTCCAGTTGGCATAGCTCTGTGGTTCATCAGAATTACTGAGATCTTTACCAAAGCAAAGTGGTGATTGGCAAGAGAGTTATTATTATTATTATTGTGTTGGCAAACTAGCATATTTGGCTTATACCAGTGCTTAATGTAATGCCAGTCAAAATCAAGACACAAGTACAGGAATAACTGTTACTTTTTTAAATATGAACACATAAATTATGTACTATATTTAAGAATTTCTTGATTATATGATGTGTTTTTTATATCTTTCTGTAATGTAATATATACATATACACACACACACACACACACACACACACACACACACACACACACTATTGTAAAGTTACTGTTGTATTGTGATGTGTATGTTTTATTATTATTAATTTCTAGATATAATCATTGTTTTCAAAAGTTAACTTTCAACAATACAATCATAATTGCTAGCCTATAATAATCTATAACTGCCTTTAAATAAATATTTTAAATAGGAATTTTAAATTATTTCAATACAAAAAAACAAATTCAAAATTCATGTATGAACTATTCTACAAAACTCTATCATATTTAAATGAAGAAAATGATACTTTGTTATCAAATCTAGTTTGCTAAAATCCTTGAAAGAGAATGGAATCAGAACTCTTAAGATGTTATTGATGTATGACCAAGTAATACAAACATTATTTCTTGAAGATTTTGTATGAAATCTGTCTATAACTAATGTGTATGTGTTGTTTATATTATGTTTTGTGTACTTTTCCTGAAATCAAAATATGAATGCATTTTCAATTTGTAAAATCAATGAGTTATGTATTATGAAAAATGTTTTTTGCAAAACTATTCATGCATCTTGTTTATTTATTATATAAATTGTATCTGTAAAAGTCTGTTATCTTTTTAAAAAGTGAGAAAAAGTTACTATATTAACATAAGATTTAAGACAATGGTATTTTTAACTTATGTTGTTATTGTTTTTTTATATGGAAATTAAATAAATCTGTTTAAAACAATTGCAGTGTTGGTAAATAAAGTTATAAATATATATCAGTAACAAATATTTATGAAATTATATAAATGGATAAATATACATACAATTAAACATAATAAATAAATTTATGTTTTAAGCTTTTTGTAATGAGACTATTACATACATTTTAACATTTTTTTTACAATTTCTGTTTAACATTTTTTTCAATTTTAACTATAAGTTCATCTCTAATTATTATTCAAATCAGTTGATGGCTTCAGATGTTCACAACTGACTTTGTTACCTAACAATTACTAAAGAAATAGAAAAAAGATCTGACTTAAAATTTCATTGTAGTTCAATTCCATAGTTTGAGAAGTCATCAATTTTATGTTTACATTTTAACATTAGAATTTCAAAAATTCTAATGTTAAAATTCTATTTGAAAACTTAATATGTGGAAATATCGCTTTGTTAATTGTTTTCTGGTCTGATTACTTAGATATGATTTCTGTAATATTATTTAGCATATATATATTTATATTTTATAGTTTTTTATCAATTATTTACTTCTATTTCACTTCTATTATTCACAATTATTTACTTCTATTCTACTTCATTATGATAATAGGAATCTAAATTTTAATGTTTTAAATATAAGAAGAATGTAAAGCAGAAGCAAAACAAAAAATTAAATTAGGATAAAAGAAATGACAAAAAGTAATCAGGAATTATATATAATAAAAGAATGCCAATAAAGTTAAAAATAGAAATCTATAAAATTATGATAAAATCTGTTATTAATGAACAAGCATTAATTCTAAGAAAAAGATAAGAAACAAGAGAGAACAGAAATAAAGATGGTGAAATAAATAATATCATTAAGAGAAAAATCAAGAAACGAGAACTGAAAAAGCTCAAATAAACAGCATTATAGAGAAACTAAAAAAAATAAATAGTAGACAGTATGGTCACATGATGAGTAGATAATGAACAGAACTAATAAAAAAAATTATGAAAAATGTACAGTAGGGAAAAAAAATCAAAATGAAAATATTGAAGTGATAAAATAAAAAATATATATATATAATATAAAAGAGACTGATAGATGAAGATACAAGACATGACATTAGAGAAATGGTGACGGAAACTTATTAAGGAAACTGGTAACTAAGATGCAAGATATAATGAGGAGAAAGATTATGAGAATTCAAAATATATGTAAATCTATCTCCTAAGAGGTATAACATAAGTCCATTTTAGACTTGAATACACACAATCTGTTGAATATTTTATTTTTAAAATCTAACTTAAATTCCTTCTGTAAGTTTTTTGAAAATACTTGATTGAATTAGATGTCTGTTGTGTACTACAAGGAGACAAACATTAGAATAACTTATTGTAATTGTTGTTATTAATACATTAAAAATTATTCATTTTGAACTGAGAGTAAGAAATATTTTATCATTATTTTATTTAAAAAGTCTAATAAACATTAACATTTCTTACCAGGAACATAACCATGTCAATTTACGAGCACAATAATCCAACAAATCAATCACCACAGATGAAATGCATTCTACAGCTTCTTCATAATATAAAAATGCTTCCAATAATGTTACTAAAGTAACTTCATGATATAGCTATAGAAATTTAATTTTAAATTTTAATATTAACAACACTAAACATTTAAATTATATCTAATAAATATGAATAAATTTTAAAAAATGTATATTGTATATCTGGTAAGTGTGTATGATGTAAGTTGCAATGTTAAATAAATTAAAAGTATGTAAATTAAAATAATACAAAATTATTTATTATTGATAATTAATATCTTACCATTTTTTATTTTTACATATTTCTTACCAGTATTTTGGATTAACTTATTTTTCAATTTTATTTCATTAATTTCATTTCTTAATACAGCATTATCTTTATATTAATTGCATCATTATCTTTATTTTCCCATATACTAACTTTGTATGGGGTTTATATAACATTATTTCTTCCTGCCTCCATCAGTCTTCTATTATTTTATCACATTGATTATTGAAAAATTACAGTCCTGATCAATATTTTCCTACATTGATTGTTTCAGATTTTAAAGAAACTATGATTTTGTAGCTTGAGAAATGAATGCATGATAATCTTGAATGAGTTCAAAGAATTGATGCTACGTGTGTGCACTTTGCTTTCTTAGTACTCCTGGATTGTCTACTGACTATTGAAAAATTGAGCCATCATCTACAGCCCTCCACTACATTGTCAGAAGTAACCTTTATCCAACAAATACCAGAATGAGAAATTTGTCTTAATTTGTATCATTTTGGTTCTCTATGGGATTGATATGTACTTATATTCTTATATAGAGCTATGTGAGAGCTTCCTAGCAGAAAAGAATATAGTAAACTCAAAGTTATGCAAACTTTGTCATGCTGATGAAAGTAAAATCTTTCTTATATGTGAGTGACAGCAATTGTGAGAGCATTCTAGTCTTTGAAAAAAATTGTACTTTAAATTGAGTCATAAATTTTGCACAAAACAAATGTCAATCAGAGTTCTTCAGAAAGAATAAGTATTTTAAATATATCATAACATTATTTAATATATTTGAGATAATAATAATGATTAAATTGTTCTCACCTATAATTTCTAATGTCCTGAAATTATTCCTATTTATTATTCCCCTCCCCCAAAAACCAATGCATTGGGTTTTTACTGTAATGATTTATTTCTGCTATAATCATATCAATTCTGAGATAATCTTGTTACAATTTTCCATTATTTGACATAATCATGAATATATAATAGTGTACTTCACATTTTAGATTTTACAAATGCATGTGCCAGGCTGTGAATGGCTCACGTATTTGTAAAATCTAAGTGACTTGTACAACATGGAATTCATATAAAACGGAATTATCTACAGTGTTATAGGGGGTCTACTGTATAAATATTTACAATTTAAATCTATGCAATAAATAATATAAATTTAAATAGATGTTATAAATAACATAAAATTTTCCTTAATTAATAAAATCAATTTTCTTCGATTGTGTCCAGACAGTCATAAAATGATTGCCAGGTGCTTGAAATGTGTGTACCCTTCTTTAAAATTAACCATTCAACAGTGAGGGATGGATATATCTGTCCAGGGCAATTGTGTGGAAGTGGTGAGGAATGAATATAGCCATTAAATTATTTTGGCGGTATAGCCAAAAACTACTGTGAAAAAAAATTGTTACATAAAAAATGAATTATGTAACAATAAAAAAAAAACTTTTCTTTACTAGACATAACTGTTTACAAAATCTTTTTCCAAAACGATAATGAGAAAAAAGGCGTGGCCCACTACTTTGGGATAGCACCATACCTGATTATCCCACTGTTGAAAGGTTAATTGACTCTCAATGAATAAAACATTGAATTAAACGAGCAATTATTTATTGTGACATCATCACAATGGTGGGCTGCAATTTTTAATCACATTTCTAATTTATTTAATTTAAAATATATGATCTCCACTTCAAATTAGTAGTGGCTTGCCCCTGTACATTATACTTTACCTTTAACAATAGAATTATGTTGGTCTAACAACTTTCAGGGATAAAGTTTTGAATTGAAATAATGCATTGGCGTGCCATGACATTTTATGATAGGGAAGCTGTGTTTCTGTAAGAAGCCGACTTCCAGGGGCAATCAGTTAATTCTGTATCAGTGATGGTCTAGGGTCCATTCATATTCGTTTGTTCGATAAGCCAGTAAAAACCGTAGACTTCTCTAAATGTTTTTGTCATTTATGAACACTATATAGTTCATACACACAACACAAGACAATCTTCATTGTAAATTTATTCAATTTTTAGTTGATACGCATACCTGTTTGCAGTAAATTTGAAGTAAACCTGCATGTAAATTTATTCAAACAAGTATCAATATTTAGTTGATACATGTACCTGCAAACAGGTACATGTATCAACTAAAAATTGAATAAATTTACAATGAAGATTGCCTTGTGTTGTGTGTATGAACTATATAGTGTTCAAAAACGACAAAAATAATCAGTGACATGGTTTCAAGAATGTATGGTGTCCAAATGTATTTTTAATATCACAATTATATTCCGAATCGTTAGCCACAATATAAGGGCTACAATTATAAATAAAATAATAAAAACTTGGTGAAATAAAATGTGTGGTGGATATACATACCTGGTACAAAATATTCTTCAATTATATGAATATACTTTTAAAGGAAATTATAATTAAATATAGCTTTGTAAAGAAACATACATAAAAATAACATAAAATATTCTTTACTTTTTAAATCTTAAAACAATCCACTTAGTCAAATAGCTGGCTAACGGATGGAATCAGAGACGATCCTGGTAGGTGGATGCGTGAAAATTTCCAAAATTTACAACTTTTCAGTCACTCTCATTGAACTGGAAAAATTTCTGTCTTTATTACATCTAATATTACGAAGAAATCAGGCCCCACTGTACTCAGATAGAGATTGGTTCGGTTAAACTTTTGTTTAAGTAAAATTCCGGCTCTTTTAGAAGGGTTTTATTTATGTCTCTAATTCCCTAATCTCTTAATTATTTAACTATTTCTTAAGTAGAAATAAGTTGAAACTGGTTACTTTGTACTCTTGTAATCTTGGAATCTCTTACTCTTGTAATTTGTAATCTTGGAAAATACTCTTGTAATTTGTAATCTTGGAAAAGTAGTGAAAAGACAAATTTTTATGACAACAGATATATAAATCATAAATTTAAGGAAAATAAATTCTAGAGGTTCTTTGTATCTTGTGCATCTCATTCATTATTTAGTTGTAAATGATGGTGCCAAAGTAACAATTAATTTTTTAACATTGTACAAGAATTGTTTACGTTTTTTCCTGCATCCCCTTATAGACGGAATATACTAAATCATAATAACACTAGTTTAACATTAAAATCTGTAAGTAATACAAGATGAGAAAGCAGAATAAATGTATCAAATATTTTAATGGATTTTTTTAAACTCCTGTCAACTATACAGAACTATCATAAAAACATACCAGTAAACCACTATCGGTGATTTAAGTTATAAATCTACTCGTGATTTATTCATTCATTCTGCCACTGGTATTCGAATATATAATAGCAATCTTATCTTTTTTTCACATGTAGTAGAGAAATTTGTAATAAGATATGTTCAAATATAAATACACATTGTATGATTATTTTCATATTTTAGAAAATAAAAGGGAAGTGACACTTCCACCACTTCCAAGGACGGCACACCACTGAAATAATGTAACTTCTAGTTTGTATCAGAAGTTCAAATATAGTTAATCAGAGCCTCCAGCCCATAAGCTTTCTATATCTGGATTGACTTTCATGTATTTATCTCCATTCTCGAGATAAATACATATAGGATATGATAGATGGACAGGCAACAGTGGGAATTTAACAGTGTTTTTTAGGTCTACAATTTTGTCAAATTGCAGCCCAACAAAAACAATTTGAGAATTTGTTAGAATTATTGTCTTGAGAGTCTTGTTTCCTTGTTTTTGGCTTAAGAGATAGTGTTGGTGATTGTATTTAATGTGTAAGCAAAAATGAAAAAACACCAAAGGTCACAGTAATTGAACTAGCACCATCAGAGGGTCATAGTGTATGTAAAGCTGTGAGTATTTTCTGTAACATAATAGTAAGTTTTTGTAAAGAGAAAAGACTGAATTTGTCTTTCATTTCTTTCGGTAAAACAAGAAATTCAACATATTCAAAATAATTTTTAAAACAAAGAAAAAAATGGTATAGCATTGTATATACCCCAGAGTATATACACAGAAACCAAACTCTCCTCACATAACTGGAAACCCACTACATCTCCTCACTGTATCTGTAAAATTGTAGAGCCATAAAGTAAGTCATATATTGGGTTGTAAAGATAAAATTTACACATTATTATTATTATTATTATTAAAACACTGGAAAAAAATGCCTAGAATGTTTAATGTGGATATATAAGTAAAGTAACCAAAGGGCATTTCATCATATATTTCATTACAAGTAGATACATTGGTAATGTCTGACAATATAAAACTTTCAAAAGAACATATTAGTGTGCTGTTACTCTATCACTTTAAAACTGGCCACAACACAACAAAGGCTTGTTTATGATCTCATCTGCAAAGCATTTGTTAAAGCATTCATAGATGAACAAGAACCAACCAGCTATTGCAACTGTCAAAGAGCCAATAGTGCAAAAAAAGCAATGATCTGTGTTTGTTTGGCATCATAATGGAGCTGTTTCCAACCAAGACCACTGTCATGAAAGAACTCTACTGTAGACAATTCAATCATTTGAATGTCAAGATCAAAGAACTACACCCAAAAATTCACCAAGTCTAATATCACCACAACCAGCCAGCACATAGACCAAAGATGACTTTAGAGAAACTGGCTAGTCTGGGCTGGGAGGTTCTACCTTATCTATCTTACAACCCTGATTTGATGCCAATTGACTACCATCTGTTTTGTGTCCTGCAGAACCATATTGCCAATATACAGTTCAATGACAATACTCAATGCTCAAGACTCTCTCTTAAACATAGAATGACGGGGATTTTTCATAAAAATTGAAAGTTTGCACAAAGATGACAAGATGTAATTGATATTAAAGAATGTTTACCTAGCAGGCTGAAATATAATCATTGTTGAGTTAATTGTCAATAAAGTTTCTTTTAAAAATCTAAATTTTACCTTTACAACCAGATACATAACATCACATTAAATTTTAAATAATTTAATTTATTTTCAGATCTAGCACTGCATTAAAGTATTTTTTCTTCATGGAACTTTAAATGTAGTACATTTAAAGTTCCATTCTGGGTATTTGATGTACCTAGAACACAAAAACAAACAAGTTTCTGGTTTATCCAAAATTTTATTTATCCAAAAGATCCCTTGTCCCAACAAGTTTGGGTAATCAAGTTTCCATTGTATTTATGTTATTAATCTATTTTTGCATAAAGGCATAAATTAAAAAGTTGTAATACTAATTATTATAAAAATAAAATTTTACTTACAACAGTATATAAAAAAATATTTGATGTAGGCTCAAATCTATCTTCTATTAATTGGTAAAAAACTTTTTCTTTCCAAACTTCAATACATATTAATTCATGAATCAATACTGTTATCTGTAAGAAAATAATTAAAATTTTTAATAATGTTATCTATTATGAATATCAAATTGCTTTAAAACACTTAAATAAAACTCCAGGACAACAATTATAATTAAAATTCACAAATTTAGAAGCCTTCCTCAGACTACATCCAATTCCAAGGTGTGAAAGAGGAGGAACTGAGAAGACACTTTTACTCTAATTTGGTATTTCTTTTGAACTTATGAATTTTAATTTGAAATACTTGTTTAAATTAAATTTGATACTTTAACTTAAAATGATTACATAAATTCTATATAAATATTATTTATGAAGATAACAAACTTAAAAAACACATTAAAAAATTCAGAATTTTAAAACAGAATCATAGTTTAATTTAAAACTCCAATTGGATGATAAATTACTATTAAAATATATTAACATTTATTTGTAATGTGTTATAAGATATATAATTCTATTTTTATGCATTTTTAAAGATATTTGCACTAATCAGAGAATAAATTTGTAATTGGAGAAAATGTAATTTGACTGAGCAAATTTAAAAGTTAAATTTTGTAACAATGTAATCCCTAAATTTAACTTACAGTTTTATATTCCTAATATATAATTCTTAAATGATACACACAATGTCTTAAAAAATTTCATAAAAATAAAGTTACAAAAAAAATATATCTTATTATATGATCCTTTCACCATATTTCATATATTATTCATACTATAAATATTCATTTCTTGTATCAAGTATTTTATCAGAGATCTTGACTGAAGTTAGTGGTTCTTGTTGTAACAAAGATTATTACTTATTTCAGTCATTTCTATTATGTTAACATTAACTGTAAAACAAAAATTTGAGAAACATCTTTCTAAAATACAGTGGGTGATCGGTTAATGAACAAATCAGATAACGAACACTTTCACGAAAGATTTTTATGTTCAGACAACAAACACCTCACAGAACAAACACAAGAAGAAGCGATGCTGTGTTTAACATTTGTAAAACTATATTTTAATGGCATCTATGAATGGAACAAGACTTTCACAGTTGTATACATAAACTTTTCTTGCACTAATTAAGTTCTATTCTCTGAATCTTTGTAAATGCTTTTCTGAACTTTTTATTTAAGAAAATTGATATTATTATGGGGCCTAAAAAGTGGAGTGTCAAGAACCATGCTCATCATAGAAATCAAGCAAGATCTAACAGTCAAGGTAGAGAATGTGCAGATGTCTGATATTGCCAGCAGGGCTCTGGAGCTATGGAGTTAGAGTCAGAAGGAATTTCTGGCCAGAGGAGTCGTAGTCGGAAAAATTGTGTCAACTTTGACTCCGACATTTTAAATTTGTTGTTTATCCAACACAATGTAGTACAACTTAACAATCACTTGTCTTTCTTTCACCTTTATTCTATTTTAAATTTAATTTAAGTTTTTATTTAAATGAAAGAAAATTTATTTTATATTTAATAATTTTTTAAAATGTTTTTGTGTTTTGTATAATTCATTTATTTTAAATATAAAATGAACAATTTAATTTATTAAATATGTATCAATAGTTTTCTTTGTAGTATTTGTGTTTAGAAGTTAAATTATTTTGATCCAATTGAATTTGAATATTTTTAATTCATTCCTTTATTATCCTCACTCTAAATAAGTATTCTATTTTTCTGAATGAGCCAGACTAATTGATCAGAGTATATATTTTTCTTTTCTGAACAAGGGGTTGAAGTAGCTAGATCGCATACTTTTTAGTTGGACTAACTTTTCTGGAAAGGCAAAACTGAAGTGCAAAAGCTGTAGAATAAAGATATGTAGATGTAGAATTTTGTCACTCCTCCTTTTTCCTCTTATTAAATATTTGTTAAAAATTAATTTCTTTAGACAAATAAGTATTAATGTAAGTTAAGTATTAAAAATACTAACTATAAAAGTATTTGGGTAAATGCCCGGAGCTCCTTTTACAGTTCAGAGTAGGGTAACCCCTTATAAGTACCTCTGCCCCCCATAAAATGACTTGGTATTTAATTTTGCCAGAGTCGAAGTCGAGTTTTTTTTACCAACTCCGCAGCTCTGGTTGACAGCAGTATGGCTTCATCAAGTCTACAGTAAGCACAATCTTAGATAAGAAAGATATAATCAAAAGACTCAAGCAGATAAAGGAGTAACGAAAATCACAACTCTCAGTTGCGATTTTCAAAGATACAGAGATTGCTTTTAGTTTGTTATTATATGTATATAAATGTAGTAAGAAAGTATATAAGTTATTTATTTTTTGGGGTCTCCAGAATGAATTAATCAAATTATCATAAAAATCTATTGGTTAACGAACAATTCGGGTAGTGAACATGGTCTTGGAATGGATTATGTTCGTTAACCGANATTGTGAGCTTGGCTGAACCCACGCTCACAATAGGATGGATACGATTAAAAGGCCCTTAATCTTAGTGCCACGAAACAGAATGATAAATGTTCACATGTTCCGAATTCTTAAAGTATAAATTTTTCGGTGAAAACATTGACACATTTTAAACTGATTTGAAAAATTATATGATCCTTTCACCATATTTCATATATTATTCATACTATAAATATTCATTTCTTGTATCAAGTATTTTATCAGAGATCTTGACTGAAGTTAGTGGTTCTTGTTGTAACAAAGATTATTACTTATTTCAGTCATTTCTATTATGTTAACATTAACTGTAAAACAAAAATTTGAGAAACATCTTTCTAAAATACAGTGGGTGATCGGTTAATGAACAAATCAGATAACGAACACTTTCACGAAAGATTTTTATGTTCAGACAACAAACACCTCACAGAACAAACACAAGAAGAAGCGATGCTGTGTTTAACATTTGTAAAACTATATTTTAATGGCATCTATGAATGGAACAAGACTTTCACAGTTGTATACATAAACTTTTCTTGCACTAATTAAGTTCTATTCTCTGAATCTTTGTAAATGCTTTTCTGAACTTTTTATTTAAGAAAATTGATATTATTATGGGGCCTAAAAAGTGGAGTGTCAAGAACCATGCTCATCATAGAAATCAAGCAAGATCTAACAGTCAAGGTAGAGAATGTGCAGATGTCTGATATTGCCAGCAGGGCTCTGGAGCTATGGAGTTAGAGTCAGAAGGAATTTCTGGCCAGAGGAGTCGTAGTCGGAAAAATTGTGTCAACTTTGACTCCGACATTTTAAATTTGTTGTTTATCCAACACAATGTAGTACAACTTAACAATCACTTGTCTTTCTTTCACCTTTATTCTATTTTAAATTTAATTTAAGTTTTTATTTAAATGAAAGAAAATTTATTTTATATTTAATAATTTTTTAAAATGTTTTTGTGTTTTGTATAATTCATTTATTTTAAATATAAAATGAACAATTTAATTTATTAAATATGTATCAATAGTTTTCTTTGTAGTATTTGTGTTTAGAAGTTAAATTATTTTGATCCAATTGAATTTGAATATTTTTAATTCATTCCTTTATTATCCTCACTCTAAATAAGTATTCTATTTTTCTGAATGAGCCAGACTAATTGATCAGAGTATATATTTTTCTTTTCTGAACAAGGGGTTGAAGTAGCTAGATCGCATACTTTTTAGTTGGACTAACTTTTCTGGAAAGGCAAAACTGAAGTGCAAAAGCTGTAGAATAAAGATATGTAGATGTAGAATTTTGTCACTCCTCCTTTTTCCTCTTATTAAATATTTGTTAAAAATTAATTTCTTTAGACAAATAAGTATTAATGTAAGTTAAGTATTAAAAATACTAACTATAAAAGTATTTGGGTAAATGCCCGGAGCTCCTTTTACAGTTCAGAGTAGGGTAACCCCTTATAAGTACCTCTGCCCCCCATAAAATGACTTGGTATTTAATTTTGCCAGAGTCGAAGTCGAGTTTTTTTTACCAACTCCGCAGCTCTGGTTGACAGCAGTATGGCTTCATCAAGTCTACAGTAAGCACAATCTTAGATAAGAAAGATATAATCAAAAGACTCAAGCAGATAAAGGAGTAACGAAAATCACAACTCTCAGTTGCGATTTTCAAAGATACAGAGATTGCTTTTAGTTTGTTATTATATGTATATAAATGTAGTAAGAAAGTATATAAGTTATTTATTTTTTGGGGTCTCCAGAATGAATTAATCAAATTATCATAAAAATCTATTGGTTAACGAACAATTCGGGTAGTGAACATGGTCTTGGAATGGATTATGTTCGTTAACCGATCGCCCACTGTATATATATAAGGCTACTGAAACGTTTTCAGTATTTTCTGTTATTTATCTATCTTACAATTGAGGAGTTCTTTGAAATAAGACACCTAAGATAAATTTTGATGTTTTCAGGAATTCTCAAAAAACTTTTTTCCATGAGGTTTATTATGAAATGAGTAAAATTTAAATGTCAAATTTGCTTGAGAGTAAAGTTCATATTAGAGTAAGGGGTATATATATATATATACATGTCCATAAAACTATTTGATATGCATAATAGAACACTTAACTGAAAAAGATACCTAAGTGCACTTAGATATCTTATTCCACACTCCTCAATTCTGGATATTTTGTTTCTCTGCAAAAAATTTAAAATAGAATGAATTATGTATTTTAACACGTTCACTTCCAATTGACATAATTCTGCATCTTGGACCTTTGCAAGATGCTGAATTATGTTAACTGGCAGCAAACATGTTAAGAATAGAATAGAATAGTATATTTCTTCAAGATTAAAAGTCTACATATAGAGAAAAAGAAATATACTTTATCATAGGAGATAAAGAATTCTTTAATAAATTCATCTTCTCTTGAAATAACACTTTTTACAGCCTGCATACTCAATTTGACCAGATGTTCATGTTGTTGCAACCACCTAGAAAATTTTAAATATTGAGTTATCTTTTCAGATAAATGAACATAAATTAACAAAGTTCTTTAATATTTTATTTTAAAGTAAATATTATTTTTGAAAGTTTTCTTAATTAAATAGGAATGATTGCATTCTTCCAAAGAAAAAACTTTGGTAACTTTAAGTAAATAATAATAATGTAAATGTAAATAATTTTTTTATTTACATTTACATTAAAAAAGTACATATTTTTATTATTTGTTCATTTATGGTATATTAATTATTATTGTTTCTTGCTTTTATTTAAGAGTTTGTTATTGGAAAAGTTCTTTCTTGTTCCATTGGACATTATCTGTATTAATTTAAATGCCCTTCTAGTTTTAAAAAGAATTTTTGTATTTTTAAATGTACAAACTATATTCCTCAGAGCAAGGCATATGTCCCTCACTGTTACATATATGGTTGACAGGACACACACATACACAGTCCAAATTTAGCTTATTACTCCATTCACAACAGGAATAATAAAATATATTCAATAAAAACAATCAGTAAAAAATGTTCATATTGTAAGTGCTCATAGTTGCCATAGTAACAAAAACAAAATATCATATTCACCTGGTGGATCCTACAGAAGCAACATCAAATATCTGCAAAGATTTTATTCGAGCTTCCGCTTCTGGAGCCAATAAAATGTCGGCCATTATAAAAATCACTTACAAAAACATAAATGATTAAAATCAATTTCAAATTTCCCGACAACTAACACAGAAAATTGTCGCCAGAGTCGCTAGCAGCGTCCATAGGCGAATTTAAGGTCGATTATTTATTTATTTATTTTTAATACAGTATATATAGCAAATATTAAATATCTTTTAATTATGGCATAATAATTTTCGTTATAATTAAAATATATTTAATATTTTCGACAAATTATTTTTTTATATATATCGCATTAAAATTATATATTTCTTCAGAAAAATATAAAAAGTATCACGGAAATTTAAATAATACAAATTACTTACATAAAAAAAAGTTGTATTGATTAAAAATAAAAATTTATCCGAAATTTAATATTTTAAATTGTGACTACATCTCAAAGATTCCAAAAATGTTTACGTGTGAAGGCCGGACGGTCGAGGAGGTTATGGCGTCACACTTAAATGTCTCTAGGACCCGAGCGGTCAAAAATTCCCAGAAATTTTTCGGAGGTGTTCTGTCCCGAATATGTCAGGCACCGTCACTCACAACACGGGCGCTCCTATTGTGAGCTTGGCTGAACCCACGCTCACAATAGGATGGATACGATTAAAAGGCCCTTAATCTTAGTGCCACGAAACAGAATGATAAATGTTCACATGTTCCGAATTCTTAAAGTATAAATTTTTCGGTGAAAACATTGACACATTTTAAACTGATTTGAAAATTTATATAACTCACCGGCCTAATTTTAATTTTAAAATGATGAGCGTCGCGTGTCCAAGCGTAGCATAAAATAGATGACTTTATTTGTGGACTCATTTTAAGAGGAGGTCTCGTATCGCCTAAAAAGAAAATATGCATAAATTTTTGCTTCACTTCACGTAGTCCCAGACGATTGCCTAGACCGGGAAGAGTGGATCTTTTTATGAGTCTTTTTGCCAAGGTAGACGTATTTAACTTGATAAACCGAATTGAAAACAAAAATAAAAACATGAAATTAAGAAGAATTGAAATTGATACAGAAAAAGAAGCGAATCATAAGATACGTTATGTGCCGGGCGAATCTTTTTGAAGTGCCTCTTTCAGTACGTGTGCTATTAGTGTAAAAAACGTTTAAAATGCATTTAAAACGTTTAACTTGTGTGTTATTGTTTTTCTATGATAAACAGTATTTTAGTTCGATGTTTTTGAAAATACAAAACATTTTATCCAAATATTTTTGCATACTGTAATTATTTTATAATTTGTAGATTTTCCAAAATATCCGTAACAGTAGTTAATTTCGTTGAGTTAAAATGTGAACTACTAGAGCTTAACATTAATGTTTAATTATACAATGATTCATTGGCTGAGGCGGTAAAGGCGTCGGCTTAAACTAGGGAACTCGAGTTCAAATTTAGATCAAGCAACTCCAGAAATTTTCAACAGTAGTCTGTTCTTCTCCATCCATCCAAACCCACAATGATTTGATGCATACTAATTTTTTATTAACCGAGGCAACAAAACCTTATTAAAATAAAGTAAAAGTCTGTTTACATTTACAAAGTTGAATCTTCACTTCTGCATGCATTGCGTACAAGAACAAAAATTTTTACGGCAATCTTTCTAAATTACTTATTGCAAAAACATGTAAATTGTTTCTGATTTTCTATTGGAGAGAGAAACTAAGTAGAGATAGTTCAATATTCTTTACACCAAAACAAATTAAATTTGTATTGTGACCAACAACTTTTGATTAACAAATTCAATAAACTGATGATCGGGCGGTTGAGCAATTAAGGCGTCAGCTTACCGCTCTGAGGGATTCGAGATCGAATCCGGAAAAGCTGCGCTACGAATTTTAATTGGTGGTCATTCCAGAATACGTCAGACGTTCCTCACCATCCGACCGTCACATTGTAGGCATGGTCGAACCCACGATGGGTATAGGGAAAAAGCCTTTTACTTAAGTGTGTACAGAGTGGAACAATTTAAAAATATCTAATAAAACGTTCGCTGCCAGTTGACGCGATTCTGCATCATGTAAAGATAACGTGCCTGAAAGTCGTGTCAATTGGCAGTGAGCGTACTTTGGCAATTTTAACGCTTGCAACATAAATGTTTTAAATCTCTCTAACCCTTTAATCAATCTAAAACTCTGGATTAAAACTTGGAATACTTTAAAATTCGAATTCAATAGGCGATACAGACCCCTTATGATAAAATCGAAAAATTAAAGTCCTATTCCAACATGACCCATGATTAGTTACATGCATTGTACACAAGTTTCATCTGGTAACGAAGGATATACGTTAGTTTTTTTTAACTACCGCAAACGTAAAGAAAAATATTTAAGAAATGTTCATCATCTGCAAATGAGTTCAAATTGAAAGCATCCAACTAAGTTTTCCAACGTTATAACAAGATAAAGATGGTTGGAAAAGATACAATTTTACATTACAAGAAATTGCAATAGAGTTATAAGTTTAGATTAGATGGATATTCTTTATTACGGGTTCTCTCTTTAAAAATCTAATAAATATTTGCCAATACGAAATATTAACTTGATTGTATTTTCCTGAAAAGTAAACTATTCTGTAATACTAAACGACGCAAAAGTGAAGCCAGCTTTACAGAGAATACTGTATATAATTAACAAGAGTTTACAGTATAAACGAAATCATTCACGATATAACCGTTTTACAAGAATTTTAATATTTTTGTAATTTTACTATTATGTAAATTATTTTGGCAGTTCCGACGGAAGTCGACTACAAAAAAAATAAAAATTCCAACTCTAGTATTAAGTTACGGCAATGCAACACTTCGCGATCTGCCTAAAAAAAATGCCTCCCGAAAGGTCTTTTTAGGTGTTGTTGGCCCCTATTCAGGCGTTACAGACGTGGAGAAAACCCGAAAAACCACGTGGCCAGCCAGTCCGGGCGAGGCGCGAGCTCACGACCGAACTCCCAGCGTTCAGGAAACGGAACCGCTTGGCCACTGCTGGGCCAAGGACAGAGGCGTAACTAAAAAGAGCGAAGGTGGACATGTGTCCCTAGCGCCAAAATGAACGTTTTACATTACATTACGNGTCAATTCTTATTTCCAATAATAAATACGAAATCAATTTATTGTAGTTTAGAAAGAGATTATATTAAAATTTTTATGATGAACTCAGGATATTTTTCCAATTATAAATTAGAAGTTTAGACTATTTACAAAAACTATTACATTTTTGAGTATCAATTAATCTTTTTCATGCACCATAGAAGTACATCTTTTGCATTGGTATTGAAGAAATCACTTCATAAAAAACAAATAACAATAGGTAAACATTTACATCTTTAAAAATGACCAGACGTCAGCCTTTCATTTTAGGTTCTGAGCCTTAACATTAAAAAAAATAAGTAAATCTTCTCACCCTACTATCAAGTGTATAAACTTGATAGTAGGGTGAGAAGATTTACTTTATTTTTTTACAATGAGTTTTACTCAGGGCCATGAGGTAGATTTTCTCAGTATGATGCAAGTCTTCGAAATGCAGCCCCTTAAATGTTTTTCTTTAAAATAACCTTCGATTGTGATATTTTTTAAACTGCACAAAATGTACGAATAATATTTTTTTATTTTGAAAATATAAACTACTATAAAATATTGATATCAACTACAACAGTCTACTACAGTTTTATTCTTCTAACTTTAACTTTAGCAAATTTGTTAATTAGGGATGTGTAATTTAGAGTGGCAGCCAATGTAGATTCAATAGAAATTAATGATAGATTTTTAAGTTTTGTTTGGTTTATTGAACTACTTAAGAAGTGTTTTATTAATTTTAATTTGGAAAAACTTCCCTCTAGCTACAGAGACAGGGAGTGTTAATAAAATTCTCAGAGCTACAACAGTAGTATTCGGATACAAAGTAATTAAGTTATTTTGGCACAAATTATTTAAAACATCTAAAGGTTTCATAGAATATAGCATTCGGGATATTTCACGTAATTACGTGATATATTCTTCTTGAAGATCATTTGCATTTATATCTGATTCATTTTCAACCGAAACTATTGACTGGAGACTGGGTACAATAATTTTCTAGTGTTTTTTCATCTAAATCCTTGAGTTTTAAAATGTCATATAAAAACTCAAGATTTTTGCTATGGGTTTCCAGAAGCGTGAATCGTTCATTCAGAGTATTAAGGGTAATATCCAGAATATAACTGAAAAACTTTATTTTAAATTTACTCTTCTGTTAAGGGTTCATCGACAGCTTCTTCATTGTCAAAGTGATGTTTTTTCCTTCTGGCTCTAACTTCAGTTTCGGCAGGAAATTCTGTACTGCAATCTCTTTAGCAGCAATTTTCATCTGATCATATCCAGATTTTCTATAACTTTTCACTTTTTGTATGGTTTCTGATAACATCCTTACACAATCTGACAAATTTATAGTTACAGATAGCAATAGCTTTGAAACTGAATTTATTTCAAATAAAAGAATTACACCGCATATAAACTTATAATTTTTAATATTTTTTGCTAACTGTCTTGCTTTAACTTTAGTTTCTGCATCTCTGTTGACGTCTTCTATNGAAACTGAATTTATTTCAAATAAAAGAATTACACCGCATATAAACTTATAATTTTTAATATTTTTTGCTAACTGTCTTGCTTTAACTTTAGTTTCTGCATCTCTGTTGACGTCTTCTATTACTTAGAATAATGCATCATAGATTTCGGAAAGTTGAAACCATAAAGGTTTTAATGCATCTATTCTGCATGATCACCTAGTAACACTCAATGGTTTTAGAGTTAATTGTGAAATACATTTTTTTACCATTTCCCAACGCTTTGTAGAACCAGAAAAAAAGTGTAAAGTTCTTGTACAATAGAAAACACTGTAGAAGAAGACGCTGCATCATTCACAACTAGATTTAAACAATGACATGTGCAGGGCACATAAAACGCCCTTGGATATTTTTCAAGTATTTTATTTTGTACACCCTTTCTTACTCCTTTCATATTAGCTCCGTTGTCATAGCCTTGTCCTCTAAACCACTTTAACTCAAAACCTAACTTTTCCAAATGTGTCAGAATAAGTTCTGTCAAACCCTCTCCAGTTGAATCACAA